CCCAAAAAAAAAAAAAAAAAAAAGAAGAGGAAGGACCCAATATTGAATAAACTCTGGATTCTATAGTGGGAGCTTGTTTTTTTCCCTTTAATTCAGCTAAGGATTCACCATATTTAAATGTCATGGACTGATTCTTTGTACAGGAAGAGGATGAATAATTTTGGGTGCAGAATTGCAAGAATATGAGATGGTGTTTTTGGTTAATTAGTGTTTTTGTTCTGTGTTTCTGTTTTGTATCCTTCTGGAATGGTGAATATTTGGTTTGTAGTATGAAAACCACCAGAGTGGCTCTTTTTGCATCCTTCTACCTTCCTTCCAAAAGTGGGAGAGGAAACAGGAAGGCCTGTAGTCCCTGTATTATTGAAAACCTTTATTTATTTGTTTGTTTGTTTATTTATTTTGGCGGTTGGCCAGTCCAGGGATCCGAACCCTTGACCTTAGTGTTATAACACCATGCTCTAACCAACTGAGCTAACTGACCAGCCTCCTATATTATTGAAAACCTTTTAAAACTTTGAGACATCATCTGTTATTTCTTACTCAGAATCTTATTGGCCCCTTTTAATGGTCTCTAATGATTTCTTCTGCATGTTAATAGTGTTGGTTTATAAAGAAATATATTAGGAATTTTGATTTTGACTCTGAATGAGGGGTTTGGGATGCTTCTCCTTAGCAGCAACTTCCTCTGGTATCTTTTTTACCACATTATTTAGGTTAAAAATAACAGGAAGTTTGCATGTTCTTATTAATCCAGCTATGTTTACTTTGTTTTCATTCCCTTTTCCCATTTTAAAGTCCTATCCACTCAGATCTTTTTGATGTGTATGTGTATATTCTTCCCACATCAACACAGGATCAGTTGTGTGGCCGGGACCCTACCCTCACTGATGAGCTGCTGAATATACTCACAGACCTAACTCAACTGAGTAAGACCACGAATGCTAAGGTGGCACTGCGAGCACGCCAGGTAAGGACATTCATTAGTTATCTTGGAGGAAGGATGGTTTTCATAGATTGGGCAGTCCTAGACACAATGAAATTTTACGCAACTTTACCTTACAAAGATCAGGCAGTTTTCTTTGTATGTCACATTGCCCTCAGGACAAATTTTTGTGTGATTTATGAATTTTTGAAAAAAAAGGAAAAGATTAATGTTGAATCTCTTTAAAATAGGAGCCCTTTCCCCATTACAGAATCCTGGTATCATTTCCTACTTTCCTGAGTGGCTCTGTGGTAGTAAACCACAGTCAGGTGGAGGAAGCGAAACTGAGGGAAGGAATAGACTCAATATTTCTTACTTCCCAAAGGGAGCTTAGAAGCAGATGAAAACTTTTAAGTATATAGGAAATAATCAAGTGTGGAATGCAGAAGGATAATGAAATGGAACTTAGGCTCTAGCAATCAGAACAACCCCAGAGAAGTCCAGTTAGTTTTCACCCTGTAGTCTTCATTTCCATTCCAAAAAGATTACAGCAGGGAATTCGAGAGTTGGTGCTCTCTTTGTGTTTCAGTGCATGGGCATTGACAGGGAAGCAGTATTTGAAGCTGTTCAGTGACCTTCTGCTTTCTCTACGATTGTATCCATGTCAGTGAACTACTCAAAGTTATTGAACCTCTCAGTGACCTGCTGAGGGTATTCACATCCTACAGTGTCCCTGTTTGTTTGTTTGTGACGCCGCTTTCATTCTCTCTGCCCCTCACTTGCATTGGTGTTACTTCCTGATGGCTTCTCCTTGATACCGAGTACCTGGGGCTCTCAGAGCAACTTTTCCTAGTCTGTCTTTCTACTTCAGATTTGCAAAAACCTAGCTATGCTGCATCCACCTTCCCCACAGCTGCTCCCTGCCAGACCTGATTCCCAATTAACAGCTAGTCATGCAGTCCTCAGGACTAGCAGTTTTGCAATGGTAAATCACATGCACTGATGGAACTTGATTGAAGCTGTTTTCTCTCCCCTCTCCCCTGCCCACCCCCCTCCTCCCGCCACCTCCCATGGGAAATTGCCCACAACACAAATCATGAGGAGAGTCAACTGAGATTCAGTATTTGGTAGCATTGGCTTTGTATTACAGGACCTAGAAGTTGTTTTACTTGGTCTCTGTTTTATCTTTGATGCCTACACTTACTGATTTATATTTATTGCTTTTGTATCAGAGCTGCCTAATAGGAGCCTAGAATAATCACTCCCTCAGGAACCTATGCCTCTTATTTTGCTCTCACTCTAGGTTCTTATTGCCTCCCATTTGCCATCATATGAGCTTCGCCATAACCAAGTAGAGTCTATCTTCCTATCAGCTATTGACATGTATGGACATCAGTTTTGCATTGAGAACCTGCAGGTATATGTATATGTATATATATATAGCCCTCTTTACCCTTATGCACTTTTATGTCCTTTATTTCCAAGCATAGTTTAAGTGATCAATCAATTTTGATTTTCCATGTAATGAAGTTTTATACTTTGACTTTCTAAAATACTTAAGAATATTTTTTGATAAAAATGGCAGTTAGAGTTGTGGTTTAGCTTAAAAATCAAATAGGCCTGCCTTGATAGAAGTGTCCATTGAAGTCTTTACCTCTTGTACTGAAAGTGTGCTAGGCCAGAATTAAGTGGCAGCACTGTGATTTCTGATATTTGAATCAGAGTTATGCATAGACAGTTGTTACTCTTCTGGAGACAAAGCTATTTAAGTATCTCTTAATTTTATTTTAATGCTTTATAAAGAGCCACTCCAATTTTATATGAGATTATTGGTTAACTTTACTACTAATTGAAAGGAATTTATTATTATTATTATTTTTTTTTTTTGTCTTTTTGTCTTTTTCCGTGTCCGGCAACGGATCGCAACCCTCAGTGTTGCTCCCGTGCCGCGCTCAGCCAGTGAGCGGGAACTGGTCTGTATGTGGGGTCCAACCCCTCGGGCGGGAGCGCCGCCGCGCTTCCCAAGCGGCGCACTATCCAGTGTGCCACCGGGCCGGCCCCGGAATTTATTATTTTTTAAACAACATCACTTTCTGAGGGATGACTTTCTCTTTTTCTACCTGGAAACAAAGTTACTATTGTTATATCTGGCCAAGGGAATCTTCAGACTTTCTGAAAGATTTCCTTCTGGAAAACCTACAGGGGGAAGAAGGATGTTTTTCCTTATTTGGTTTATAGTTGAAATCTAGGATTTCAACTGGGGTTCAAATCTAGGATTTACTATAGTGGAGTATTGAGATAATATTTAGGAAGTGGAATACAGATATATGTCAGAAGGGATAATAATTATAGCCATTTATATTAGCATATAATTAATTCATTATCAATACATTATTCTAACATTTTGCATTATTAATTCATATAATCCTCACAATAGCTGTATGAAGACAGGTATTATTATGTTCCCCATTTTGTAGCTGAGGAAGCTGAGACACAGAGAGGTTAAGTTCATACATGGCTTTCATAGACAGAATTCTTAGGTTTTACTAAATGTTTCAAATGCCAAATAGTGGCCACTGAAATTATTCTCTTTTTGGTCTAATGGTTTAAGCCTGTATTTGTACCTTCCAGAAACTCATCCTATCTGAAACATCTATTTTTGATGTCCTACCAAACTTCTTCTATCACAGCAACCAGGTAGTGAGGATGGCAGCTCTGGAGGTGAGTTTTCACGTTAATGTGACATGACCTTTTTCTTCGTTTCCATCTGATTTATTCTGTTTGGCTATCATGTCAGTTGTTTTTCTTTGGCTATAAAGTTGGTTCTTAAGGTGTAGGGTAGTCTTCTTTTCCTCTGGAACAATAAGTGCTTACTCAAATACCTTACTCAAGTGTTTCATCTGAACTAATCACCAGCTTCTGAGTTCCAATCACCGGAGAATAGCTGCCAACATTTTTCAATAGTCTCTACTTTCCAGGTATTTGAATTCTCCCATTTCATAGTGAATTAGGATTCCCTGTAAAACAAAAAGTGAAAAACTACATGGCTGATCAGAACATATGTATCCTTAATATTTTGTGATTTGAGCCAAATTAAAATGGATTTTAGGTTATATTTTGAGTTGTTAAGCAGCTCATAGGAAAGAAAGTAATAGCATTTAATTAACTGTGTTTTAGGTACTTTATTTTTCTCATTTAATCCTACAATTACTTTATGAAGTATGAAGAAAATGAGACTCTGAGAGGTTAAGTGACTTGTCCAAAATTACATAGATAATAAGTGGAGGAGTTTGCATTTGAACTCTGGTCAATATGACTCGAGAGACATTTCTGTTTCCACTGCAGCACACTACCTCATTAAGCACAAAAATTGCAGGCACTGAATACTGCTGTAAAATTGCCAAGTAGATGTATTTTGAAGATGGGGAAAAGGGAACATTTTAGATGATTTTATGTAAAAAAAAATCACCATAGTCTGTTGCCAGCTCTTTTGGATTACTTTTTATTTGTATTTGGTAGGTAGAGTGTAATGAAGTCTACTCAGTAAATATCAAATTTTTGAAATATCTAAGTAGCTTACAGTGCTTTCATGTCATTTAATGTGATCCTTACATACCTCACTTGCTAATAGAATCCCACGTAGCATTTTACTTGCATGGCAAATTGGCTGTGAAGTGCATGAGGTTGGACTGACGGTTTTTACTGAAATATAACCTGTTGCTGTTTCTTTAACTCTTGAGTAAGTTAGTGTGTTTGACATATTATACGTCAGATGATACCTTACTGCTTTTGCCTAGGGTTTGGGGATCTAAATAATCCAAAATGATTTGGGGCAGTAGGGGGAAAAACACCAAAGATACAAGATAGTAAAAACAGTTGAACTGTACTGCAATTGCTTTTTCTTCTATCTTCACTCCTTAAGTGGTCCAGAATCAGTACCTCTCATTTTACTCACTACTTTTATCATCTGTTGAAATGATCATGCTTAATGAATTAATAGTTGTGGTTCTATATGCTCTCTTTTGCTAAAGATCAGACCTTCTCCAGAGTTTAGGTTAATGTGAGAGGTTTATGGGGCACCTAGAGGTATCCAACATAGGCAGCCCAATTTTGTTTCCACTTACATTCATGAGTATAGTATTAGGATTCCAACTTTATTAATTAAAGCAAGGTGTGTACGTACAGAGCCTTGGGACTTCTCTTACTGCAGACCACAACCTTCTGCATCATATTACCTCTTTTCAAGACTTTCTTGTGGGCTAGCCAAACTGGGCTAGCCTCAGTTTCGGTTTTCGAAGTTTATTTAACCGAGGATTATTTTTTAACCAGGTGTATGTTCGAAGGGCTTACATCGCCTATGAACTTAACAGCGTACAACACCGCCAGCTTAAAGACAACACCTGCGTGGTGGAATTCCAGTTCATGCTACCCACATCTCATCCAAACAGGTGAGTTTGAGCCAATATGTACACCTGAGCCAGCCAGACGTGTATCAGGAGAGTTAAGGGGAGTAATGTGTATGATAATTCCATGAGTTTTTTTTTAGCCAGAAATGCTGTGCAAAAAATGAACAAATCTGAACCATAAGAGAAGAGTCTCTTGGTGCCCACTCTTTTGATCTGGAGAGATAAAGTATGGTCTAATTTAGATAAAAGTTTAAGATTATTTCATTCATTCTTGTTTGCGTTATGTCACTGAGGAAACAATGCTTCCTCTTTTTTTTTTTTTCCAAGTTAGAAAGAATTTAGTAGCATTTTACTTGCTGGAATTTTGCCCAAAGAGATCACATTTTTAACCACTTAAGCCAGTAGTTGGAACAAAAAAAATATCTTAGGTGGAATGCTTTGCTTACCTGTATGTCTGCTATGAGTTGAGGTTATACCTGAGCCAGTTTCATTGTCTCCATAAAATTAGGCACCTGAATTTAGCAGTTGAAATTCAATCAGTTTTTAAAAATCACACTTCTGAGCCAAATTTCTTAAATTCAAGTAAAGTACTTAATTTGCCATGCTAATTCTGTTAGTCTTCCCTTCCTATGTCCGTTAAAAAATAAAATATACATATGGAAATTTGTTTAAGTATTGCTTTGGTTTTAAAATAAAAATACTTTATTTTATGTACTCATTTTTAAAAAGTATTCTGAATCAATGAAAATCTAGGCATTCCACCCACACATATGTTCATCCGCTTCTATATTTTCATTCTTTCTAGTAATACCGCAGGAAATATAAATATCACAGCCAATCTTAACCTGGCCTTCTCCATTTCTTCTTTATGGCCTTTAGTTCTTCACTTGGTGTTACAAAGCACTGTGTCTTTGGGGATCCTTAGTTATAAACACCAGAAATGGTTTTGTTCTGAATTGCCACTTCACCCAAAGCAATAGAAACCCTTTCTGGAGACAAAGAAGTCTGTGCTGAGACTTTTGGCCACTGGATGCCACTGTTGATCCAGCAGAGGTCGGCAGATGAGCGGCAGCATCTCCAGAAAATGTACCTCTCTTCTTTGTCTCAGAAGATCCTTTCACTTCTCTACCTCAAAAAACCTATGGCTGGCAGAGAAAGGCATATATTCTTGATTTAGCAAGCAACTCTCAGCACATTTTTGCCCCCATGGATTTCAGAATCTCATTTTCTAGAAACGAATGATTGTCCTTCAGCTAGTGGTGAAGTGCTCTTGGCACACATGGGCTCAGCACTCAGTCTTCTGTCTTTTCCTGCATTCCTTGAATAATCGTAGAGAACTACATGCTATACTTAATGCTCCTTGTAATTCTCAGGACAGTCTCTTTTTCTTCCTGCTTTCTTTCCTGCTTTCCTGCCTCTTCACTTTGGGCAGGGAATTGTAGTCAGACTGCAGGGCTGCTTCTGATTTCCCTTCCTCCTCATCACCCCCTTTGTCTTTCTGAATGGCTCTCTCCATTTCACTTATTTTATTTGAAGATGTATGTCCAGTTTGGTGAGGAAAAGTTGAGGGAAAAATAAGATAAATTCTTTTTAACTGCTTTGTTAAGAAATCTTTTTTGCCTTTTCAAGTCAAGGGAGTGAATCTTGGTTAGTACTAATGTGGTTTCAAAACTTATGTACTTTTCCCTCCCAACATCTGAAGTATACACACCCCTGTGGATAAAAAGACCAGAATTGAACAGAACTTTAATCCTGTAGTCTCTCTAAAGTCTTCCTTGGGTGTGTGTGTAATTTTAAAGCTGCTTAGTTATTATTATCATTACCATCATCACTATTGGTGTAGGTGTAAAGATGAAGATAAGTGCAAAATAAGGAGGAAAGATAAAATTATCTTTGTCAAAACAGAAAACGTTAAAATTACTTTAGTGCTTTTTTAGATCTAAGTTCTTTGTTAATTTAGGTTCAAATGGTCAGATTTGATCACAAAATGATATATTCAGTTTTAAAGCATAGCTTATTCAGACGTTTATTGCAAATTTGCTACCTGAATTTGGTTTTATAAGATTTTGTATTTTCATACAAATGTTTTTACTACAATTTGGAGTTATAATCTTATTCCAACACCATCTAGTCAAATTTTTTACCATACAATAGGTCTGCTCACCTTAAAAAAGAAATCTAAGGTCTCTTAGTTTTAGCTAGTTTTGAGCCAAGTACTTTCTTTTTTTCTAATTTCAGTACTTTTATTTCATTTATTCTTTTTGTTTTGTACAAACAGGCAATAAGCATATTGTTTCTCATTCTATAGAAATAAGTTACAGAAGACTACTAGTGTTTATTTCACTCCCAGTCCTGTAAGGCTCCAGGACACAGTTATGTCCACTAACCTTTCGATTAATGATTCTCAGAATTATCTGGGGAATATTTTGAATGAAAAAATTTTTTTAATTTATTAAGTTATACACATTTACTATGAAGTAATTATAAAATACAGAGAAAAATAAAAGAATTTTTTAAAAGCATGCTTTCAATACCCAGATATATTAATTGAAAACGTGTTTTGTTTCTTTTCTTTTTAAAATTTATATAGTTTTATTCTCAGGTCACAGAAGTATATTGGCAGTCTTATAGTTATGGCTTTCTATATTTACTCATATGTTAGTTTACTTTTGTAAATTAAAAAAAGAAATCCATGAGGCCACTACCATCTCCAAGAAATAGAATGCTAACAATAACACACATCTGTCTAGGTGCTTCCCTGAGGACTCCTCTCCCAGTCTCCTCCCCTTGAGGAAACTGTTATCACATGTTCTAACTTCATCATTCCTTTACTTTAAAAAATAATATTATTATTTATGCATACCTAAAAATGTATTGCTTAGTTTTGCATTTTTTTAAACAGAAAAGTACTGAAGGTAGTCTTTTTGGACTTGCTTTTATCATTCAACTTTGTTATTCGAATCCAGCATGTTCTCACTCATATGTGGGAGCTAAAACAACAACAACAATAATAATTTGAACTTTTAGAAGTAGAAAGTAGAATTGTGGTAACTAGAGGTGGGAAAGGGGAGGTGGGAAGGGGGATAGTGAGAGATTGGTTTACGGATGTGAAATTACAGGTAGATAGGGAAAATGTTTTATTGGTATCTGGGGAATATTTTGAAAGTAGGCATATTGTGGTCCTGATTTCTGAGATCTGATTCATCTTGGTTTAGAGTCCAAGTGACCACTTCCTGAAAAGCTCCTCTGATAATTCTGATGAGCACTTGTAATTGAGAATCACTACTTCTAGACCAGCACTGTTCAGTAGAAATATAATGCAATCCACATGTAATTTTAAATTTTCTTTCTTTTTTTGGTGACTGGCCGGTACAGGGATACAAACCCTTGACCTTGGTGTTCGAACACCACACTCTAACCAACTGAGCTAACTGGCCAGCTGCTATAATTTAAAATTTCCTATTTGCCAGATTTAAAAAGGTGAAAAGAAACAGATAAAATTAATTTTAGTAACATTTTACTTAACCCATTTTCTTATTTCTTTTTTAAAAACCCATTATATCTAAAATACCATTTCAATATGTAATAAAAATTACTAATGAGATATTTTCTATTATTTTATTCATACTAAGTCTTTGAAAATCAGAGTGTATTTTATACCTACAGCATATCTCAGTACAGACCAGCTACATTTCAAGCACTCTGTAACACACATGTGGCTAATGGCTGCCATACTGGACAGCTCAACTCTAGACCAGAAATTGATTAGGACAGTTGCACTGAGTCCTTTTAGTTTTACGTTAATGGTAGTGTCCATAGGAAAGAGAAAAAACTCTTATTCTTATGTTGCTTGTTCTTAGTAGTTCCAGGAATTATCCATACCTGATACTATAGATATTACACTATATCTATATATCTATATCTATATAATATTTTATGCATGCTTAAAAAATTATTCAGTGAGAATACAGAATAGACATATGAATCATACATATCCAATTGAGGTTAACAAACCAAAAATTCTTGGGGGAGAAAACAAACATTTTGTTTAACCAGTTATTTGCATTTTCTTTCCTGGCACTTGGTCTTTACATTTCTACCCAGATATTTATTTGCAGCAGAGTAAATTTGTCTAGCAAATCATTAGGTGTATCTTTGTAAGCTATAGTATCAAAGCAAGACTAGGATCTCTTATTGTGTCTAAGATCACCTGCTTGAATTCCATTCCTGCAGTTTGTTTTTGACTGGTGATTTACCCCCATGGGTTGGGATGAAACATGGCTCTCTGTCTGCAGTCTGACAGCAGCAGAGTATTTTTTCAGGAAAATGTTTTAGTTACCATTTGGATTAAAGACCTGTGTCTCATTAGGATCTATTTTGATTTTTAGAGAAGTAGGCAAAGCACATTGCAGATGACTAAGACATCCACTAAGAAGGGAGAAGACACCCTTTTTTCGTACACTTAAATAGTTACTGTGTGGCCAACATGTTTGGTACCTTTTTATTTTTGTTTTCATTCATCATAGGACTTTGTATTGCTTGCCATTTAGTTACTGCATTTTTCGGTTTAATTTGACTATTTTTTTTCTAGTACTCCTTCCAATATTAAAAAAAAACAGATTACTAAATAGTTTATTCCTAATCTACATGACTTCCTATTTCATCCTTCTTGTTAGGTATGCTTCAGTCAGGTATGTGTGTTATCTTCCTCTTGATCTTCTACCCAAGACTTTCACATTTTTTCTGGGAACTGTAGTTTCAATTTATTTGGCATCCCTAGGTTTTATTCACCAGAGGATCCAGTTATTACAGCTTCACTTAGGGAAGTTTCTGGTCTGGATTTACCCTTTTCTTCTTAAATTCCCTTCACTTGAATAGTAGATTTTCCTAACTTAAGATAGTTAGAGATCTATATATATGTGAAACGTGTGTGTGTGTGTGTTTCCTTTTTTACCTTCTTAGCATTTAAAGGCTATGTGCTATTGTATGTGAATTTTTTTGAGGGAAGGGGATCTTATTTTAAGGTGTCAATTTTTTAAAGG